GAGAGAGAGAGAGAGAGAGAGAGAGAGAGAGAGAGAGAGAGAGAGAGAGAGAGAGAGAGAGAGAGAGAGAGAGAGAGAGACAGAGACAGACAGACCGACAAACCGACAGACCGACAGACCGACAGACAGAAAGACATTCAGACACAGAGAGAGAGAGAGAGAGACAGAGACAGAGACAGACAGACCGACAAACCGACAGACCGACAGACCGACAGACAGAAAGACATTCAGACACACAGAGAGAGAGAGAGAAAGAGAGAGAGAGAGAGAGAGAGAGAGAGAGAGAGAGAGAGAGGATGAGCACAATGGGCGCCAAGTCCTTGCGAAACCGATTATTAGTTTGAACAGGGAAACTTTTATCGTCAAGGTTGTTCGCGTAGCCCAATGAAAGATTCTCTTGCCCACTCACGTGAGTTGCTCAAGCAACTTTCCAGCAAGAGACAAGCTAGAAGACGCACTACATCAATCCGACGACGTTACGTGCTTATGGGTCAAAAGGCATGAAGCGTAATCTGCGGCTGGGGAAGCTTTATCTACAACCTCCCGCTGCGCGGCGTACGCTGCATCATCTACTTCAGCACAGCTACCTCTACTTAGGGCGTGCTCACACTAGCTATATCTTATATCTATCCGACCGCATTATGGCTGTAACTAGATGCATCCGACCGCAATCACGTCCATAAATAAATAAGATAAAAGGTCCTAGTGTGAGTATGTCCTTCGAGCCATTGACAATTAACCACACTCCCCTCTGATCCATCCACTCCTCCGTCACCGTCTAGGTGAACCGCCGCCATCGCGATAAATGAACGTTGAACTCTGATTCGCTCGAAGCAAATCAGCCTCTCATCATCAGCACGTCTTCCAGTTGATGCGGTAGATGAGCTTGAACTTCTTGTCCGTGGAATCCAGCGTCATGATGCCTTTGCGACCCGCCGGGCCGCCGACTCTCACCTCGGAGTTGATGTTCAGGTTCGGCACGCTGTTGCACTTGCTCCACACGAGCAGGCCGAAGAAGTCGGTGTACTCGTAGTTGAGCTCCAGTCTGCCGTTGAGAGTGCGCTTGGCGTACGAGGTCCCCGTCTGTCCGGAGAAGTAGTAGCTCGTCTGATAGACGCCGTTCACGCCCTTAGCGAGCTTGCCGTAGCCGCGCCCCGTCACGCTTCCCAGCGACAGACTCCAGCCCTTGGGGTACTTCAACCCGAGCGACACCTGGCAGTTCTTCCTCCTGTTGGCCAGACCTCCGTCCGTGGTGGCAATCATCGCGCCGAAGATGAAGGTGACGGTCGAGTAGTCGTTCGACAGCACGTAGTTGGTATTCTGCCAGTTGCAGCCCGAGCCCATGTAGGTGACCGAGTCGATGGTCACCTTCGGCGGCTTCGCGCTTGCAGGGACGGCAACACTCACAAGCGAAACGACAACCAAAGCCGCCATGGCGGCCACGACGGCAAACATTGATCGAGCCATCGGCGCTGTTGTCAACTTCGCCCTCCTACGCTAAGCCCTATTCTCTCTCTACTTGGGCTCTTCACCTACGAAGCGTCCTTCCGACGAGATCCCTACTCTCTCCTCGCGATGGCTACTCGGCAGTATACTCCCTCCTCTACGCGTTCGTCCTCACCGGTGGCAGGCGCTACTCCGATGTGATGGTATGTGCCTACTACTTACGATCAAGATCACTTGGCCTACACCAACGCACTAGTGTCGAACGAGAAGCAATATCGTGCTCGATTTATACGCCTTGCACGCGCCATCGAAACTTGAAACCGAATGGCGAGAAATTCACACAACGGAGCGATTCACTGAGGGCATACTCACACGAGGACCACAAGACCCTAAATCCCAAAATTTGAGTCAGTTTTTCGGGTCTCACTGGAGAGGCCGCCTACCCAAATGCCTCAAACAGTGTACCCTTTTGTCAGCGGCCTGCGGGGCCGCTGGAGGACCCTTTTTGAGACCACCTCCAGAGGCGGTCTCAAATTACCTTTCGTTTTTTTTTTTTCCTTATACCACCAGTACCTTTCCCGCTGGGAAAATACCGGGCCTCGGGTAGGCGTCCTACCTTTGCAGCGGCCTAAAAACCGCCGATATGATTTATCAACGGCAGTCGTCGTCGGGCCTGACCTCCGAAAATTCAGGCGCTTGGGAAAACTGCCATTTTTCCCTATTTTCCCACGCGGGAAAGGTACTAGTGCTTTATGTTGGCGAATTGAAGAAAATCGTAGGTCCTGATGCTACCGTATCACCCACCTGCTGTAGCAGGTATCGCACCTGCTGGTGGGTGCAGCTCCCGCATGTTCCCTCGTTGGAGGCTTGAGCACGGATGTGGCTGCTACGGGGTTCCCCGTAATACTATAATGACAATAAAAAAAGACCTGAAAGGCCGTCCTGTCAGATTTGACAGGTAATTGGTAAAAAGAAAAAAACAAAAACAAAATCGTAGACGACGGGGACAGCCGGCCAAACAACTGGAAGTGCGACCAGAAACATGTACCTTGTAGCCATGCGTCATAATGAAGTGAAAAAAAAAAAAAAAAAAAAAAAAAAAAGAGGGCCTAGCTCAGTTGGTAAGGCACAGAAGTTGCATCAGGAGGTCGTGGGTTCAATCCCCATTGGCCTCACGATGCGCCTGGGCAAGCTTGGTGTTCTACCAGCTAGAGATAACCCGTCGGCCCCCCAAGCCAGCATTGGCAGGACCTTGGCTGATGTTGTTGGCTGCTATGCAGTGACAATATTGGCCATTAGACACCGCCATGTGGGGGTGGGGTGGGGTAGGGGGAGGTGCAGTGACTGGCCATTGCTCGGCGCTAGCACCGCCGATTTTCCCCATCGGCAATGCCTGCCCACCCCTCCTCACCGTGATGAGGGACTGGTACAGCCTTGCCCTCGCACCACAGCTGTGGTGCCAACCTACCCTGTGGGCTGGGGAGGGATCCGGGTTGGTTGGTGTTCCCCCGTACTATATATAGAACAGTGAGAGGATGAGATAGATGCGTACTATCAAGAAAAATGAGAGAAGAATATAGCTTACCTTTGAAAAAAAAAAAAAAAAAAAAAATCAATCTTTTTGTTTGGTCCTCGCCCGGGCACACTTGCCCTGAGTGCAAAGTGTCAGGGTGGCGACTTTGTCCTTTCTGGATTACGTCCGCCTGTGTGACCACACGGGGACCAAATGCCTAAAAAAAGCCTAAAAAAAACAAACCAAATGCCTCAAATTTTTGAGACTTTTGGTCCCCGTGTGAGGGCATACTCACACAGCGAACCCAAATCCGCAAACATGCGTTTTAGGGCAGGGCCAATTTGAGGTTTTGTTCATGGTTCACGTCACACTGCTGTACCTTTTCAGATGGGACAACGTCGCCTTCTGGAGAAATGGGGATTTGGTACTTGGCTGGTCACACTGCTGTACCTTTTCAGATGGGACAAGGTCGCCGTCTGGAGAAATGGGGATTTGGTACTTGGCTGGTCACACTGCACCATCCACAAATTGTGCAAGAACTTTTGTGAACGAATTTTTGCCAATTTTTGAAGAAAATGCAAAAAAATGAAATAGGGCGTTTGCCGTCACCTCCAGAGGAGACCGCATAATCCATTGCCCCGCGGCTTCCCAGGGCGCTGACAAATGGGCACAGCAATAGTACATTTGTGAATTTTGGTAGATCCGTGTGACCAGGCTTTTCCCCTTTTTTTTTTGGGATTTTGGGAATATAGGTCGCCATGTGAGTATGCCCTGAGCCCTGAGGGCATACTCACACTGCAACCCCAAATCTGCAAACTGTGCGGATTTGGGAAGGGCAGATTTGAGGTTTTGGGCATGGTTCACGTCAAACCGCTGTACCTTTTTCAGATGGGACAAGGTCGCGGCCTTCTGGAGAAATGGGGATTTGGTACTTGGCTGGTCACACGGCCCCATCCACAAATTGTGCAAGAGCTTTTCTGAACAAAATTTTGCCAATTGGTTCGCGGTCCTGGTACGGAAACGGTAGCGCTCCAATGAAGCCCTGCGCTACCAGGCGTACTCACTGTCTGGAGACGGCAGCGCTTGCGTCAGTAGGGAGGTGTGGGATTCGGGGTGTGGGACGGAACGATGTCTTCTTCGTCGATTTCTAGGTTCGGCCATCGCCCTCAGCTTCGACAAGGGGCTGTGTCTCCGTGTGGAATACCAGGGAGCAGGGTGATTCCGGTTCCTCCTACAACAGACGATCTACAAGATTCAAGTAACGAACCTCATGGCAGTGTGAACATGACGAAGGGAGAGAGAGTCTAGTACCAGTCAATGGGCATATCCAACATTGGAACCTCTGGAGGCACTGGGTGGGCAGCTGGTGGTGGTGGGACTGGTGTTGGGAGGAGCATGTGAGAACTACTGTTGAATATCTTGACTGGGAGTGTGAAAGACCCGAAGCTCGACGGGTAGCGGTGCCACCAATGGGAGTGCGAGTTCCTCTGGTGGTAGTGGGACCGTCTCCGTTGGGATCAAGGGCGCTGAGCACTAACCAAGACATTCTCTTACAGAAAATATTTAGAGTACATTAGCCTAGCTATTTTTCTTGCTAAATACTCTTTATGAGTGGCTCACTTCATGACAAACGTACATGATAATATTTCAAAAATTTTGAAAGGAGCGCAGAGGAGGACAACGTTCCTTTGAAGCACTGCGCTACCAATGGTATCGCCGTTCGAAGACGGCGGCGCTCTACGTCGGCAGCAAGGCGCGGGATTTGGGGTGTGGGGCGGAGCTATGGAGTACTCGGTACTCTCTAGGTTCGGCCACCACCCTCAGCCTTGATAAAAGGTTGGGTCTCTCTGTGGAATATCAGGGAGCAGGGTGGTTCCCGTCCCTCCTATGACCTTCAACCTTCAGACTTCAAGTGTTATCTACTGCGGTATTATGCCCATTTATGAGTTAAATACATTGCAAACTGCACGAAGAAGGGAGAGAGGCTCTAGTGTTTTGCGAACGGTGAGTCAGACAGCGGCACTTCCAGGAGCAGTGAGAGGGCAACTGGCAGCGGTGGGACTGTTGTTCTGAGGAACATGTACGGAGTACTAGTGAGTACTCAACCGGGAGCGTGAAGACAGGACCTGTAGGGAGACGAGCACAGGCTGTTTGTCGACTGGGTGAAACCGTGCCACTATACATGGAGACATTTATACTTTAGTTACATCGAGTGCTCTTATCTTGGCCTTTATTTACCTCAGATTTGAAATTACATTCCATTTTCTTCTCCATGACTTTCGAGTAACTCTGTCCTTAGTTTTATTCTCGGGTGTTTTCAGTCGTTTCCTGGTCTGCCTTCATAAGTTTCAGTTGTTAGTCAAATTTCGTTTGACATAGTTTTAGTACTTGATTTGTAAGCAATAACAACATATTTTTCATGTTTTAGGGTTTCCTCCTTCCTCTTATTACCCAGACCCAATCCAGATAAAATAGAAAATGATCAAGTCGAAGATGATTGCAGATTGCTCAGAAGAGAGCCATAGAGTTCGGCCACAGACCCACACACCGTGGGAAAATCGAGGGTGGGTGGGGCCGCTTCGCCAAAAGGCAAGGTGAACGACCTGTTTTCAAAAAGCGACTGGCTGACTTTCTTGATGTGACATGCAGGTTTCGTATGCAATGGGCGCAGCGGGTGGGGGTAAAAAGTGCACAAAGTGCGCAGCGAGAGTTGACGCCTTCTACTGTGACCAGTCCTGCGCCGGTTACTTAAACTCTTGCTGCTCCTGGAAGCAGTGCAGGTCGGGCTGCCGAGGGACTGCTTCCTGCAGGGTGAGTCCCGATGGTAGGCTTGAGATGAACCAAAAATACTGCTCAAGAAATGCTCCAACCGTTGATATTGAAAAACATAGAATAATAAAGAATAGAAGAACTGAAGAAACCGTAGAGGAAGAGAATCAACCGTAGTCCGATGCCTTGGTGATGAAAAGACGACTCCCACGCGGTTGTAGTCGTGAGTCTGCAAATATAAGAACTGGGGCCGTGGGAGTTGCAACCAACCACAAGATCTGCTCCAGGAAAATTGCTACTCAGGCCCAATCCAGATAAAATATAAAATGATCAAACCGAAGATGATGCCAGATCGCTCAGAAGAGAATCATAGAGTTGGGCCACAGGCCCACACACCTCCTAGACCGCCTGAATCCCTCCATCATCCTACAATTGACTTGTCATCTTGCAGGAAGTGGTGGATCGAGCGGATGAATGATGAAAGTTGGCGTCAGAGGCAAGCTACACCGGAGATAGCAGAAAATTACCAAGCAGGGAGTAGAGCAGCCGTTGATTGACCAGTTTGGTCCAAGCAGGCGATGGTGGAACAGGATGAGGAAGCTTCTTCTTGGTTTAAACGATTGGCTTGAGAGAAATTGTGTTGAAAGAAGTTGCATGACATGCAATAATTTAGATGTTTTGGCGATAAAGAGTCGGTGTTGGACAACATATGGTGAAGGGGAACCGATGGTTTCGCCATCCACTGTGGATGCGGTGATAAATTGTCTGAGTGGGGGTTTTCGTCTATTAGGACGGGAGGAGAGCGATGATCCTTGCCAGAGCAGTCGGGTAAAAGTGTTTAGGAAAGCATATAGAGAGTATGCGTTAAACAGAGGTCTGATTGAGGAGTTTGTGCGGCCTCTAGAATGAGAGAAATTAGAAAGAGTAATTGGGTATATATGCAATAAGGTGAAGATTATAAAG